ATAATATATATTATAATTTATAATTTGATTAATTGTGTTAAAAATCCTCAAAGTCCCTTTTTAATGGTTTTTTTTTTTTAGTTTAAGTTATGTAAGAACATCTCATTTTGTTTTCCAAAGAAATTAGTTGTTGCTAATCTTTCTTCGTTGGGCAAAAATTTTTGTGAGTATTGTGGAAGTCCTTAAGGTTAAGCTCTTAGCAATTATTTTATTTTACTGCCCATATTTGCAATCCTTACACTTAAAATGTTTTAAAGATTTTAATTAAAAAAAAAAATTAACCAAGAAATATTTAGCAAGTATTTAACAAAGCAAATATTTGGTTGTTTATTTTATTTAATGGTCAGAATCTGTTAAGATGTTTTTGTCTATGTAGCTTCTATAGGGTGTCTGTTTGAACCACATTAATCGATTGTATTTTCCTCATTTCTAAATAGGTAAATATATACAAAAAAATTTACGGTTATGCCATTCTGTGAGTAGTCATCCAAGGCTAATCTTAAAGACATTCATTAGCTTAGTAGTCTGCAGAAAAGCTAGGAATCTAATTCCAGTTTCCTGAGGCCCTGTTCCAATACTGTACCTGTTAGGCTGCGTTCATTTTCCCCTGTATTGTTCCCTGCTCGAGTTTGGTTCCTGAAGTGATTCTCAGTGCTAGTATCTAGCTAATAAATTCTCTTCTGCACAGATGAAATGAATTTCTATCATATTTCCATTTATTAAGGGAATCAAGCTGTGTCATTTCTTCCAAAGACTGGCTTCATAGATGTGTTTGGGAAGCTACAAACAACAATATTAGACATTTGCTTCACTTAGAATAAAGAAAGAGAAGAAGTAGAAAATGGATGCAGTTGCGTGTCTGCAGATGTGCTCTCTTTGGTTCTTGTATTACCACAATTAGAAAATAGACCTGCCTGATGTACTGTATCTGCAGGAATGAAAATATGCTAAATATTACATTGCACTTGGCATATTGTATTATTCATAATATACGGTGTTACATGACCTTGGTTGTACATGTACAATTCTTTCTGTTTATATTAGGTAGGTTACTTGGATTAAACACATTTTCTGTATTGTATAAAATAGCTCTGAGATTTTTCCAGTGTTTCTATTTTATCAAGAGAAATGCTTTTATCTCCAGGTAATTTTTGCAGTCATATTGATAGAGCTCCCACTAAGGACATGAATAAGCCATAAATGAATGGAGTTATCAAAAATCCGTGGCCTACAGATTCTTTTTTAAATGAATTGAGGAAATAGTTTACAGTCACAGCCTTTAACATGTCTGGATGAGTATCTCACTGGAGTTTCTTCAGTTTTGTTAGTATTGAAATGAACAAATAAGATAGGCATGTGTGGAAGCTGTTTCTGCTGCTCATCTCTTCTCTACAGTGGTATTTTTTTAATAATATGTAGCACATGTTATCATAGAGTCTGAGTTTCTTTCAAGAGTACACGAAGTGATAGTGTCAAGCTCTGGTTTGTTCTGTGGTCCTCGCACCAGGAGGCAGGCGTGTGCAGTATCTTGCAGCAGCCTGCGTTGTTGAGCAAGTCCATTGTAGCATTGTGCCCCTGTGGAGTTCCCAAATGCTGAGCCACTTATATTTAGGTATGTCAAGTCGCTGTAATCCATTTGAAGTTTGGATGAATTAAGGCCACCTCTTTGGCTGCCAAGTTGTGGCAGTCTTTCTCATCTGGTTATCTTTAAATGCATTTTGTGTGTGTGTGTGGGTATAGTCTCAGACTGGGTCATATTTTACTTTTTTCATACCTCCTTGCATCTTGAAATTTCTCTAGGAGAGCTTAATATCAAGGTAAGCACTGAGTGGGCTGAATGGAGTTGGGTGAAGGAGAGAAGTTTGCATTGCAACAGAAAGCTGTGAAAAGATTTTTTCTTTTTTTTTTTTTTTCTTTGTTCTCCATAATAGGATTGCTCTGTTTTGTTTGATTCTCCTTTTGGCAACTGTGCTTGACTGATGAGCTGATCTTATCTGAATAGCTATCTATCTTGGTGGCACTGGAAGAGCTGCCTATGAAGCCTGGGTGCACCATCTGCGTTCTGCTAACACTTGTAGCAATGCTGTCTGGCAGCTTCATTCAGTATCTGCATATGGATGTCAAGAAGAAAATGGAGAATTGATCTTTGTGAGACTTCCTAAGAGATCTAATGATGGAGATGCAGTTCTTTCAGTCTCTCCATTGCATGCGTCATTACAAAAAGAATATAAACTGGTTTACTACCACCTTGGCCTCTTGCATTTTTCATTAGATGAAGCATTGACTTTTCTCATCAGTAGTTTTGAAGGTTGCTGAAGTGTGCAGGAATATGAGAACTAACACTTTCTCTCTGGTCAGTGACAAAAGATCATCCATCAGTTTAAATGGTTTTGAGTCTGTATCAGGTTATGTCAGGTTCAGAATACTTGCTTAAATCAGGTCACTTTTGAGTTATTTCTCTAACCTTTCACAGACCTTGACACTAGAAGGATCAGTGGTTACAGATCTGATCAATAAAGACAAGGGAAACATTCAGCTTTACTTTGGCAAATCTGTGACTTTAGATGACTTCAGATATAGAAGATATAATAATTACATTTCTCTGGTAGATTTAAGAATAATTATCAAATTTTAATTTCAGGCTTTGCAATCTGTTCTGACTTCTGAGAAATCAGTGTCTGAAATACCTGAAGCAATGGATGACTTCTTCTGCAATTTCCTGGTCAGATTGGGAATGTTCAGAACACTTGACTGCTTCCAAACTGAATGGTAAAATATTTTAAGTGACCATGTAACTTTGAGAATTAGGAAATAGATGCTGAGGATTCAAATATTTCCAGAAAACTCTTCTGAGTACAAGTCATTCTCAATACATAGTGTTTTGCCAAATAAGCATATTCATGTTGAGAATGAGGATGCAAACTATTGTTTGAAGGACAGACTTTCCAAAAAATTGACTCAGGGAGCTCCTAAACAGGTACCTTTGAAGGACTGTGTGCATTTCACGTAACTCTAGATATTAACAAGCCTCAAGTGGTCACCTGAGGCCTCTTTTGTGACCAGTGAAGAGAAATAATCTTTTTCAGGATGAAACTCATCTGAGTTGTTTAAGCTATTTCCTTTAAGAGAAAATGAATTAAGTTATGTTTTTTCAAGTATGTTCTGCTTTCCATTGGCTACCAGCAAAAACTAAAATGAGCTACAGTGCAGAAGTCATCATTGGATCAAATGAGTCCAAGGCAAAATGACCAGCATTTCACTTCAGCAGTGCTGAGAAATCATGCGATTTTGTTATTTTGTTGCTTTCCAGAACAGGGGTGCCTGCTTAAAAACTGAATATTTTGTAGTATGCTGTAGTATTTGCACCTTAACTGTTTGGGTGAGTTTGGACATTCATCATAGCTACTTTGTATTTTAAGTGGAATAATAAAAATTTTTTATGCTTAGTAATTTTTGGTATATCAGTCAAAATGATATGGTTGGCTTGGGTTTTTCTTTTTAAAATTTAATTCATATAGAAATCAGAAAAGTAAACTCTTCAGCTGTTGCTATCTACTTTTTCCCAGCTTTTATAGGTTGCAGGGGTTTTGTCCATACTTTGTACAGAAGTTTAAACATGCAGCTTTGCCTTGCCTATATACTCCACTTCCACCACCACTCTCTTCATATATGGAATCCCATAGGATGTGTACTTTTCTAATATTGATTAAGAACGATGTGCCAGGAATGCTGCAAAGCTTGAGAGAAGAGCTGAATTATTTTGGAGCAAAAGATGACACTTGTCCTAAAGTCCCATTGAAATACTTTCAGTTACAAGCTTGCTTTGAATCTGCAAGTTACATTGGAAAGATTCTGGGAAGCGGAAACACCTCTCTTTGAATTATCTTGTAGTCAGTCTTTAAACATAAGAGGTTCAGAAATTTTTTTTAATAAGGTCTTTTGAAATTAATTCAAAAAGTTAGAAACATCTTATTTTTTCCTTCAAAAGCCTTAAAGCTTTAAAATTTTCTTAGAAATGTTCTCTAATGGGAAATTATTACTGTCATTTGCAAGGCTCTGGTCTTATTAGCATAGAGCTCACCAATCGGGTGTTGCCTTTGGAATTAATAATGATCTGCTTTTTGATAGCGTAACAATGCAACTTAAATGATTCCTTAGAGAAGGAGCACTATAGTTCTGTATTCTTTTTTCAACAAAAGAATGGATATGAACAGCATTAAGTTTGAAGTTTAACAGTTTTTGTGCTAAAAGATAATTAATACTAGACAGATATAAATAGCGACCTTTTTATGAAACTACAGCTTTCTTTGAAACACTTAGACTCTAAATTTATATCAATGTCAAAATTAAAATTGCTTTTTAACAGAGCAAGTGCAGGTCTTAGCAGGCCCTATCTTGTAAATCCTTAGCTATACATATATTTTTTTCTATATAAGTAATATTTTTAATTTCAGTAGCGTTACAAATGAGCTCAGCATGTCAGAATCTAATCTTACATTATTGAGACTTTTTCTGCATTAATACCTTATTTCAAAATATTTCATGTTGGTTTGAAATAGATAATTTACAATATTAATGAAAGTGAGAGCAGATTAGTGTACTCGGGGGTCCTCATTGTGTGTTGGGACGACACACTGTCTCATGCTGTGGTGATCAAGTACTAATGGAATTTAAAATGAGAAATTAATTAACATAGTGAAAATTTATCAAAAGGCTTGCTTTGAAATAATTTTCTGTCTGAGATTTAAAGGTCACTTAAATTGGACCAAATTATCTGTGTTTACTTCAGAGCTTGAGAAAACATTCCATTATTTTATCCAGCTGTATGAAATGTCATGATTTGATTATGTTTTGTTTTAAGGCAAACCAGCTCTTTTTCTATGAAGTAATAAATAATTTTATCATACTTGTAAAAAAAAAAAATAAAAATTCACTACTTATGGAGGTTTTTTGCACATATACTTTTTTCTTCAAGTTAGACTTTAAGGAACTTAAAATTAGACTTAAATAATTTTTAGACTATCCAATTACCATTAAATTTTCTATTCCTTTGATATACAGGACTTTATAGTGCTTTTGTTGCTTCATAAAGATATTGGATTGACAGCTTTGGAGTACGAAGTGCAAGGGCTGATCAACTGTAAATTCGTGCATCTGACAGTCTATACCTCCTAATCCCTACGAGCTCATTGCTGCTGGCAGCATGTTGCCAGTCCAACGAGCAGATGAATCATTTGCTGTTCACACATATGCATGGAGCTATCACTGTAATTAGTTAGTACACTCATTGGACTGGTAATCTCTGACTAAGTGTTCCTAGAGACCTGGCAGTGTTTCAGCTTGTGAGTAAAAGGAGAGCTGCGGACTAATTAGGGAAACATGATTTGAAAATTCTGTTCTGTTTCATGTGGTTAGAATTATGAATAAACTTACGTGACCAAGCTAGGTTAAAAGCTATGTCTGTCTTGTGCATGCCTTGCAAAGATTGCCTGCATTGCACCTAACGGACTGCATGCAAATAAAATAAAAGCTACGGTCTTCTCTGAGCATTACAAAAAAACTCTTTTATGCAGAATGAAGAAAATGGATATAGGTTGTGATCCTCCATGTCATGACTCCCTGAAGACAGTGGAAACAACCCACTTATTTCAGGAGGTCCTAAGTTTCATCTGCTCTGTGCCCTCGAAATCATATGGTCACATTAATGTACATTGTGCTCTGAGTTCATTAATCCCAAGAGAAACAAGGGTTAAGGTTCCAGGACAACATTAAGCTAAAACAGATTCAGTTTTTGGATTAGAACTGGCTCAGAACACAAGCAAAGTAACCTCAAGTTTGATTTGCAAAAAGCCACATAGACATACCTACCTCCTTGCCTACATAAAAAGTATGACATGATAATATAAATTTTCTATTTATATGCCATAATAGTTGGAGGTGTACACTACAGCAAGAAGATGCTTTATTTTTCTGTGCTGATTTCTTTCTTAGCCTTCCATTGAAACTGTTTAAGAGGTTATCAATTGGAATGGTAATTTTTAGTAAGAAGTTCTTGTAAAAGCTAAAACTTGAAATTTTAATCCCTGAATGCATGTCTAGGTGAGTTATCCCTTGGGGAAGGATTATTCTGAGCTACGTATCAGTTAGTTTATTGCAGGGCCTCTCTGCAACCTGATTCCTTTAGAACTCTTAGGAACTTGAATTTGGTGTAACATATATAGTAATAATGTATTATTTTTAGTTAGTCTGCACTGGGCTTTGATGATAAAATCATAGCTGACCATCTGTTCTTTAGGTTTCCAGTTTCTTGGTTAATTTTAAATAGCAATTCAAGAATAACTCATTTGTTCTAAAAAGCTGAGAAAAAACCCTGTGTGTGCATGGAACTAACTAATCTATTTTCCACCTCGGTTCCCTTCTATAATGGAAAGAAGTGAGAGCAATAGCTATTTGGCAGTCAGCTAGGTATATAGGAGTTCTGTAAGCTTTACAAGACTAGGTTGAAGAAAGATAATGAGACTTCACAATGCAATTTTGTGGTGTGGCTTTCTATTCCACTTCTACCACTTGCACAAAAGCCTTCATTTTTAGTAGTGTTCTTAGACAAGGGCATACTCAATTTATTGGTATTAATTGTATTTCATTGAAATTGTCTTTCAGAGTTCTTAGCTCTGCTGGAGGCTAAGTTCATCAATTACCCATGTCTGATGTGTCTTCATGCTAAAATTTTATGGTTTTCATGAGGAGTGGTTAGGCCATTCAGTGGAGAAATTTTTCTGGCAAATGGCGGAGTATGTAGAGTTGTGATCATTTGCAGTGAGAAGCACCCTTATTTGCAATATTTCCAGTAGGAATCGTACCTGCTCATAGGTCTCTTTATTTGGGGGGGGTAAAAAAAAAAAAACAACTAAGCTTTTTTCTTGGTGTTAAGGCCTGTTAGGCCATTCAGTGGAGAAATTTTTCTGGCAAATGGCGGAGTATGTAGAGTTGTGATCATTTGCAGTGAGAAGCACCCTTATTTGCAATATTTCCAGTAGGAATCGTACCTGCTCATAGGTCTCTTTATTTGGGGGGGTAAAAAAAAACAACTAAGCTTTTTTTCTTGGTATTAAGGCCTGTTCCTACTGTAGTTTTCTTAAGAAAACAAAGTGATGATAGAATGAATTTTGCTTTGGACATGTTCAGTTTAACTTTTAAAAAACCTTTCATCTACTGGTGTTGGATGTGAGTGACAGCTTAATTCATAAGGATGAGCATTCCTAGAAGTATCCACAGAATGCAGATAAGTAGCTGTCCATAGGAAGTCATTTAGACATAAAAGTTTTTAACATTATTTTTTTTTGGAGGATGTTAAGTAAAATTTGCTTATTGAGTAAGAATCCCTTGTTCTATAAACACTTTTTGTTTCTTCAGTACGTCTTATTGATCTAGGAATGCTGTGCTTACTGTCTTCAAGTTTCAAATCTGCTGCTTGTGTCCAAGCGCAGGAGATAGCATTTAGTATAATTTTTATCCCATTGCTGCTGTTCTTTTCATACTTCCTTATTACTTGAGGGAAAAAAAATTGCACAGATTAAATATATTTTTCACCTGAGATGGCAAATAATGTTCATATTACTCCTTCTAGTGAGTTCCTACCCAGGACATCTTCCAGCTGCAGTCAAGATCAGCAAGGAGAGGATTGTGGGGCTGTAGTCTTTATCTGATAGAAATTATTTATAGCTCCATTGAACCTATGCAGAACTGAAGTGCACAATGTCTTTCTCTTCAGTGGGTCTAGAAAAGCTTATACCAATTGAAGGTCTTGCTCTTCTGTCTGCCGGGACAGAAGTAGGTGCTGAAATAGATGTTTTGTACATACATGTACTGGATTCTGGAATCACCTCTGCAATGTCTGCTTGCACAGAAGCATCTTGCGCTTGTATACGTAGACTTGAATCTTGATGTTTTTTGTAATTCTTTTACAAATTAATTGGGTTAATGCCTATGTCCTCTTTACTGCCTGTTAGCGGATTCTTAGCCTTCATTGATATTCTACTAGAAGATGGATAGTCCTAAAAAATACGAGACTGACTGAGTAAACTTTATTGCCAGGGGCTATAGAGATTGCTAGGTTGTAACATGGCGTTACATACTGCTCCAGATTCTTTTTTACTTCTCAAAATGCAAGTTAGGCTGTACAAGTTTTTAACTAAAACAGCCTTCAGGCTTCTACATCACGGAATCATATTTTCTCAGGGGCTGGTAAAATAGGTAAATATTGGTAAATATAATTAAGTAAGGAGAGGGCAACATAAGTAAACAGGAAGGAATGAAGAAATTTCCCTAGATGAGCTCTGTATTCCATGTTGAAGATAGCTCATAGAATCATTCATCCAGGTTATCTGCAGCTTTCTCATCTTATTTGAGTCCTCGAAAAAAAATAATCTTGCATATATTTGAGCATATGAGATAAAAAGAACTGTGTATATACACAAGTGTTATTTGAACAAGATTTTTTTCCTGTCTTTTATTTAAGCTATTTGGAAGAAAGGAAGGAAAATAACAATTGTTTAAATTGAAGTAGTGTGTTATACAGGACATGTCCTTTGACTATTGTGAACAGCAATACATTTTAGAAAGAAATGCTGTAAAATAGAACACTGGTAGGATAGTACTGTTGCTAATTGTTAATGATCATAAAAGGTAAATGCTTTGAGATGATAAATATCTCTGATTCTAGTTTAGGTAAATGCTAGCATGAGGAGGGAGACGTCAGTGAAGTGAGAAAAAGGAAACATGGAATAAAATATTTCTCTGTTTCTTTTCTACTAGGTATGAATTCATACAGAGGGGTGTGTTCACAGCCAAAGATACTGGATTGGTTCCAACTGTGTATACCCGCAACCAGCAACTTGAGGCTAAGAATATGTGTTTGAAGAAAGATTTGGAAAACTATAAACTTGCTGCAAAGTATGTTATTTGGTCTTAATGAAACTTTGATATACAGTAGTAAGTGACCAGATAAAGGAAACCCAAGTACTTAATGGAAATAAGAAGTTCCTCTTTCTTATGCTGACTGCGTGTATTTAACTTCTAGGTGACATTAATTATAAAAGTTCAAGTTTCTCTGAGTTCTATTAGAAACCTAAATCTTAATGTCTTTTATTTGTATTTACTGGGCTATAGAAAATAATTTTCAATATGTGGTAGTCACAGCAAATTACTAAAAAGAATCATGAGAGTATAATATGTAGAACAAAAAATAAATGGTTATGTGCATTTGGTATTAAAATACAGTACTATAAATTACAGCTACCACAAAACATCAACATAGGGGGAAAAAAAAATCACTATGCATTTATTCTTCGTTTTCTTTGATTGCAAAAGATCTAACAGTCTGGAGCTAGTGGTAAATGGTATGTCAGTGTAAATTACCATCATTGATTATACTTGTGTGTACATTGTAGTAGTTGACTTTACAAGTCAGTTGTACTATGGTCATAAGAGAATTAAAATATTTAGCCTTTATAATGGAGAGACGCAATAATGAACTACATGTAACATAGCCTTTTCTGAAGAATGATACCTCTGCACATGGATGTGGTCATTGTGAATTTACCCTGAGACCTAATAGTGCGCTCATTTCAGTTTTACCAGTGGATAGTTTTAAAACATGGAGCTGTAGAAAAACGTTAACTCCATCTCTTTGATTTTCCTCAAAATTGCTCAAGCTACTAATTTTCATTTAGACTGTTTCCTTCTATGAAAAATAGCTACTTGGATCTTAAATAGTCATTGCTGTTGATAACAGTAACAAGATAATCTGAGTGGATTGTGACTTGGTAAAAGTTTTCCTGGGTTTGTTGCATTGCTACATGATTGTTAAAGAACATAAAGCTCAAAACCATTTCACCGTGATCATGAATGAGTTCAGTTTTTACCATAAGAATGTCTATATACTCTATGGGGTGCCAGAAATTTTTTTTTTGTTGCAGATGTCTAGTTAAAAGGCTGAAAGATGACATAACCATGAGTTACAGTGTTCCTTTGTGTCTTTTGCATAAACCCTGATCATAATACTCTGTACTAAATCCATTTACTGTAGTGACTGTTAACGGCTTTTTTTCTTGTTCATACATTCAGTAACTAGAGTCAGTACCCTTGCTATGATAAAGCAAATATTCCAGCAGGAGCCAAAATTACCTGGAGGACAATTTGAGTTTTCAAGTATTGAGAGAGAATTCACTGACTTACACTGACAACAGAATGCCTAAGAGCACTGAAGAAATGCTGATTTGACTGGTTAAGAAACCAAGGGTTTGTGAGCAAAGAAAGTCTCATTTTGCTCTGTGGATTAGTCGGAAAACTTTCATTGTGAGATACAGTGCTGTGAAGTGTATTTGAAGAAAGCTTTTAATTACATTTGGTATTCCTGAGCTTGGTACTCGACAGCCATCTTGCAGAAAAGAGATATTATTTGGGTCTTGGGCAGTATGAGGGCCCAGGGTAAATGACTGTAAACCAATTACCTCCTGCTTTAATGTTGTTTAGCAATTAGTGGGAGAGACTCAGTGTCCAGAAGCTAACTGTAGTTGTATTTTGGGTATTTTAGTATAGTGTTTACATGACTGCGTGGCAAGCAGGTGGGCAAATAGAGTAGACTGCAGGCTGTTGGTTACACTTCACTGTGGTGTTCATTGTATAAAGAGAACATCACAATCAGCTTCACTTCCTGGATACAGTGAGTATGCATTTTTAATAGGTTGTCCAGTATCTGAAGGCATCTTGAGATGTAACAAAATCACTGAATGCATACATTAAAATAAACAAATATCAGCATAATTCTTTTACTCCAAAGCTAGTTATAGTTAAGGTTTAGATACACTGCTAATCTTTATTTAAACAATTTGTAAAACAGACATTGAGTTGCAATGGAAATCAAGACTAATTTTACATTGGTTTGCCATGTGACAGTAGTTAAAGTATACCCTCTTTCTTTCTTTTATCTTGAAGACTACAATTGAACCCTGATTGATCGGTAAGGGATGTTGTCATCTGCTGCAATATGTCTCTAATGGAAACATAGATATTCTTTCCAATATGCAAGAAAAATTTGAAAATAACATCTCTGAAAATTGTTAACTTACAGGAGATTAGTTAATTCTAATTCATTGTCTTCAATGATGATTTGTCATTCAAGCATTTAATATTCTAGCAATATTGAGTTGAATAATAGATTGTAATTTCAGAGCAACATTAAACTCTGCCTTTCTGATGATATAAAATAACTTGGATACCATATAGTTTGGTGGTTTTCTATAGCCAGACTGTTTGTATTGCCTTTGTATTTAAGCACGTAGGCAGGCAACATAGTGGCATATCAGGTTTAATATTATGTTAATCACAGGGACTGCTAAGTGTGATATTTGTAAGTTCTTTAAACATTTAGGAATTCATTAGGTAAATGGAATTAAAGTTGTGTACAACTTTTGGTCTGTTTTTGACTGAGTATCAGTTAGGGAGTTTAAACATTTGCAGGTATTTTCTGTACTGATTTTTGCAAGCATGCTCACAAATACACACCCAGCTTACAGCCACAGTAACAGTCAAAATATAAAGCAATCCTGGAAAGTGTATTTATTATTACTGTAGTGCTATCACCAGCAATAAAATCCTGAGCTGATCTCCTATTTCTGTGCCAAATCTAAGCATTCCTTTTTTTTGCACATATTTCTCCACTTATACCATGAAAAAAATAAAGCACACGCTTTTTGTATTGTGCACATATTTAAATGCATCTGTTTAATTATGTGGTACATTTGGCATCCTTGCTGCTAAATGCTATATGAACTAGGTAGAAAATGTATCCTCTCATGCTTTTACTCTAAAACTGTCTTTATTTCAATTAAAATTTTAGGGCTACAACTTGCAGCATCTTGGAAAATGAAGTCCCACCTAAATTCCGTGGTAACAGGGCACGTAACTCACGTTTGAAAATCCCTACTTCAATTTATTGGACCCTGTCCTCTTCTGCTATTTTTATGAAACTACCTGCTTGAGAAAGGTTTAAATGGAGAGACCTGCAGTCTTTGACATGTATCTTAACTAAAAGAAATGGGTATTGGCTTTGCTATGGCTGTAGCAACATCTTTTACTCTTAGAACAAGCCATCTGCTTATCTCTGAAGAGGCAGGTTTTGTATTCCAGACCTTATGGCAGGTCAGATTTTGAGAGTGGTGTCATGATGGAGTTGTTTGATAGAACTATCCTGAGACCGCAGATTCATTTACCTCTCAAATGTTTCGCTTTCATAGGAGCTTGAGCAGAATCATTAATCTGTACTTTGTATCCCAATACCCAAAGTTACTCTGTTTCACACTTTCTGGTATCTGTACACATGCATACACAAAGCACTGTGTGCGCCCACTGCTCCTTTCAGCTTTTGACAGCGTTCCTGCAGGGGCAGCCCTGCCTGCTTTCATTTCCCTGCCAGCTTGTTCTCAGCTTTGACTGATACATAGTGGCATTAATTCACTGTGCTCTTCTTCAGGTCTTTCGAACTGTTCCTGCTACAAGCAACAATTCACGTTGTGAATTTATATGTATACATATAAATATGGTAGTTTGTATAGGTAATAAATATAGCAAAGGCATATATAGTAAATATGAATTATTTGTACAATTAAATATAATGCACTGGCAGGTATGGGTCTTCTTCCTGGGACTGTGATTTTTGGCATGCTCCACTCTCATAGTGATTTTCCTAACTCTTCAACTCCTGTTGGAGAAGAAACGAGCTTTATTTTTCCAAAGAGCAAATATCTAATTTCTGTGCAAGGTAATTTCAAGCTTCCTTTGCGATTAAACAATTCATCCGCTAATCTTTCCTGCCAAACCTGTATCAGTAAAGGCAAGGAGAAAGTGTGTGGAATATATACAGAGTATTTTCTTTTATGTTTATGGAGCAGAGTATCTCAGGATGTCTCGTGGCTGTGTGTAGAATGTGCTTGGAGAATGACAGGTTATCAGTATGTTTGCAATTAATTTTGAAATGGATTCCTTTTGCTTCTTGCTGTCACGTACAGGGGACACTTGGGGACAGGCTGCAAACATGATTGAATAGAGCCTAGAACTTTTCTAGCACAATTTTTTCCAGCAGCTCTCTAAATGCGTGTATTTGCAAGGCAACAATACAGTTACTCTTATATGTGTGTCTGCGTCCTCCTAACATATACCACTATGTTGTTCTCCAGATGTGATGTAGATAATAGAAAATCAGTATTACAATACATTTTCATCTAGAATTTTAAACCCACAACAAGTGTATTGTTTTTTAATCACATATAATTTGAATATGTACCTCCACAAAACCTCTTGTGCTTAAAGTAGGTTTGACCTTTGAATTGTGGCTGCCCCCTCCCTGGAAGTGTTCAAGGCCAGGTTGGATGAGGCTTTAAGCAACCTGGTCTAGTGGAAGATGTCCCTGCCCATGGCAGGGGAGTTGGAACTACATGGTCTTTGAGGTCCCTTCCAACTCAAACCATTCTATGATTTTCTCATGACCTCAACTCTGAGATTTATAGTTCCAGAATGCTTATGGATCCTATCTAAAGAAACTGAGGGAAGGTGAAGAGTACCCATGATTTTGTACATCAGCTGGCAGCAAAGACCTCAAAAGTACATCTTCTCCAGCACAGGGCATGCTACCAAAAGTTTCTAACTTGGATACAGTAGGCATGTGCATATCTGAAAAATAATTCTATATGTATTCAGCATACCTTGATGAGCAATTAATAGGAGGAGATTAATACTTCTCTCTTGCATCTTCTGTTTACATATAGCAAAGCAAAGGAGGCTTTCATAAAAATGCAGAAAGAATGTGACTTCCATCGAATGCGTCATAAGCAAATGGTCCAGGAGAAAAACAGGCTTATTTGTGACATTAAAAGGTAAAAAATTATTTTAATTACTATACATGTGGTGATAAAGATAACATCTTCAATTATTGCCTGGTAATCAGATTGTAGAATTTAAAGTGGTATAGCAAAGCTAGCTGCATTTATTTAGTGTCCTGGTAAATAGCAGTTCCATCTGACCATTCTGCCGTGTCTCTTAAACAATTTCTAATGATTTTTTTTGGTATACTTTCTATGGTGTGATGTGGCATTAATAAATACAAAGCGTTCCTAATAGCTGAAAAATATAAATGAGATTTTATTTTACCTAGGTCTTTTTTCATAAATAGGTAGTGATTTCTGGGTTACATCCTTTGTCCGTTTTAAGGGTAATTGGTATCACACCAAGTTCAGAACCTTGGCGTTCATGATTCCCGTAGCTGGTACTTTCTGTCCTTTTACATCTTGAACTTCCTGTATGGAACTTGCTATGTTGCTTTGGTTGCAAATAAGCCCAAACTAGTCTGTTGATAGTGAGTTATAATACTTTATTTTATAATATTTAATTCTATAATTCTGTTATTCTGGAATTCTGTAAGTTTTCTACTAACTGTTGTGCTACTTTGCCTCCATGAGTAGAACTCTTATATTGTTCATCTGAAGATCAGTTGGCCAGATAAAAGAATTGAATTTAGAATCTCTGCACGTGTTTATGCCAGCACTTGTTTTAAGATAACATTGGGGAGTGGCTTGCATCTGCAGCTCCAAACAATTCACAGAATTTTGTGATATTGTTATCAGTTGATACATGTAATAGCAGCTACATATTCTACATCTTTAGCCTTGAAATCCATACGTACTAATGCAAGAGAGCACTATTCACTGACTTATTCTCTGTATGTCAGCTTTTTGCAAATGCAGTATTTTTGAAGCCATTAGTGTCATGTGTTTCTCTTCAGAGATTATATATATCTGACTTTTAGCTGGTCTGAAGAATTAAAGTGGTTAACTATTCAAAATGTAATATGCAGTGAAGAAAGAAATAGTAATTGTATTACGACTGTTTTGTCTAGATTAGGATCTTAGTTGGTAGTCAGATAGTAGCTGTAATTCTCTTTCTTCTGATGAAATATCATCCATCTGCAAGAAGACAAATTAACAAAAATGCATGTGCAGTATGTGTATAAAGGATTAAGAACAGGTCGAAATTGGATGGACTGTTTTAAAAGATACAACTAAAATTATTGTTGATCTGACTTCTTATTTTTGTTGGTCTTTTTTTCTTGTGGTATTCCAGTTGGGTGGTTACATACTAAATAGCTTTGCTGTCTCTTCTGTGTTGACCTTTTGACACTTTTGTTCTTTTATTTGGGGAGGGAAAAAGTTACACAGACAAAAATCTCTGATTTAACTCATCCTTGAGGAATCATTTGTCCTCTTCTTGTTCACAGGCTGAAGGCACATTATGCATCATATGAACCAGCGCTGAAGCAGCTGACTGAAAAGTACCAAACTACACTGAGACAGAAAATGTTAACTAGTTTGGAGAGAGACAGAGCAGTTGAGCAGGTAAAATGATGGTGAACACCACTTGCAAAGCTGTAAGGAATACTTTTGAGTTTTACTTTGGTAAATACCCAGGATATTTCTCGTAAAGCAACTCACTTATGCAATAGTTCGAAGCAGAATATTTTAGCGAGTTTCATGATATTTGGTGACATGTTTAATATCGAAAGTTTGTGAAACTTAGTGCCACAAAGTAGCAGTTCTCAGTCGATACTTGCTCAGTGCTGCTTTACACAAGTCAGAAACCTGCAGACCCTGTTATACTTCCAGTGTCGACAGCTTGAAGAAAGGTGTGAGATTCCCACAGATTCACAAGCTTCCATTTATGCCTTTAGAAATCTTTTATTTTAACTTTATTACTTTTATTTTTTCCTAAATATATCCAGGAATGACCTACTAGTTTAGGAAAAAATACATTAAGGTATCAGAGACAGTTTTTCTGTCTTGTGAGTAGAATAATGTAGTATTTTATTCCTATAATCTTACCTGATGTATAGGTTGGTATACAAAATATTCTGCCTCTTTAGCAGAAAGTACTATAAGCACAGATAGGGTGGATGATGAACATAAAAGTCTCTTGCATGTGTATAACCAACATCTTTGTTCAAAAAAAGAGAAGGAAAAAAAGAAAGACAAAACCCTTCCAAAATGCATTGCATTTCAACAGTAGCATCCATTATGTGTGGGTAACATGAAAGGAATTTACCATGCTTGCACTCTTTTCTAGTAGTCCTCATCTCTCATTTCCTCCTTTCCTCTGCCTCCAATTTTTCTCAGGTCACCTGAGGGCTTACTTTTAAAAGACTGAGGATTATATGTTTGAAATTTCAATAAGTAAATCAAAATGTCCTATAGAAAAAGCAAGGTTACTGTCCATATACAGTTATACCAAATCAGGAGTACAAAACAGTTCCAATGCCGTGAAACTTCAAGATCATATGTAAGACCTATCCAGTTATGAACTGTATGCATTCTGGAGCGATGACTTTTTTTAGGAACACATAACACTGTATTTTGTGGCATTTTCTTATGACAAAGCTGTATGTGATATTGTGCCATTAAGTTAAAGATCAATGCGCTAATAGTAGTGGCTGAAAGTTGGTGGTGCAGTAAGGGCCCTAGTCTTCTATATGTCTGCATTGTTTTAATACAGCTGTAGAAGTATTTTGAGAGATTCTGGACGGCTTGTATTTTATTGCATAGTTTCACTTGGCCTTTCCAAAATCTTGAATTAGGCGTAATGTTTTTAACTTAGAGACAATAATCAGAAAAGTAAAAAATTATAGATGGAATGTATTAGTTAAATATGCAGGCATAAATGCTGTGTGTTGTGAACAGACAGCTCAAAAGCAATGTCTTCATATTACCTCTTCTTGCTCTTCTCTCTCTTTAAAATTAGGTTACAGGTTTGCAAGCCGCATTACGAAGTTTAGAGTCCGGATGTGCTATTCAGAGTCCTGTGACAAAAGGTAAAATACTCCCATCACCAAGCTCAGACTGGTTATGGGATTTTTGTTGTTGTGATGCATTTCAAAATCTGGTGTAACAGTAGATCAAAAATATCAGCTGTCCTGGTGACTGAGCAGCAATTTTATCATTTCAATATTTATTCTAAAACGTATCCCCTAAGGACAGTGAGACTGCTGATGGCAATATGGAATATGTAAGTAACTATGGAAGGACTTTGTCCTAGAAATCTGTTTTGTCTCTGATTTTGTTATTTTATCCACTAATACTCTTTTTTTTTTCCATGCAAGTGTTTTTTTTATCTCACTCTTAAGAGGATATATATGGTGGTCTGGAAACATTTTGAAAATACTGGTGTTATGAAATCCAGCCTCTTATTTTAGCATGTCTCATTTTTACAGGAGGTTGCTAAGGTTATGTAATAGCAGCTGGAATAATGTCTTTATCTGTATGGTACTATACTACTTCCCCGGTGTTTTGAATAAATGCATATTTATTAAATTATTTTTCTAACTTGATCAGGCAAAAGCCTAGCGGCTCCAGTTTCCTAAGTAAATGAAGGCTATGCTGTTACATTCTTTGTAAGCATCACTCCCACTAATAATTTTGAACCTATTTTCCAATTGCAGCTACATTTGTCAGTGAGGTAAGTCTGAAAGAAACCAGGTTACTAAAAGACTCCCAAAGATAGATAGATGAGATGATGAAAAAGGGAAACAGTGAGCTCTACCCTCTTTGACAACAGAATATTCACATGAGAAGGGAATGTGGCACCTGCCTTAGTCATGAGCAGAACTCCAATCAGAGATTGCAGTTTATTTGGCATTAGAGAACTCCAAATTTCTCAGCCACGTAGGTGACCAGGTATCAAATATTATGCAACTTCCAGGTGAAGCATTTGTTGCAACTAGGACATTTTAAAAATCTGTTTCTTTTGTGTTTTTTTCCAGTGTGCCAAAGGCCTAAACTTCCTTTTGCACTGGTAATATAACCCAGGGAAAAAGCCACTGAGTTTCCCCAACCTTTGACAGTCAAGCTTCATTAGCTCCCATTCCTGTAGAAAAGACAAGACTGAGAAGAGTAATAGTAGCCACAAACTTTTTTGGTTTCTTTTTGGATTTGTAGTTGAGTGAAGAGGCTAGAAAGCATTTCCTTGGTTATTAAGCTGGCTTATATACTGTTAATGCAGACATTTCATCTACTGTCCAGATCTTTGTTATTCCTGCCTATTATGAGCGTAGCATATTCAGTTTAATTTTTTCCTTCAAATTTTATCTACTGTTGGTTGAAGCAGTTGGTCTCCTAAATTGTCATGAATTGCTACGAGCAGTGGACTGAGATCTAATTATATGAAAGATGGCCTTCGTTCTAGCTCAGGATGGTTTCCATGCAGCAGTGGGAGGCTTACGTAGCTGAGAAGTCTCCTGGAGCACACCTTACTCCTTTTAACTAAACAGTATTTTAGAAAAGGTAGCTGCTTTCATTTCTGGGAGTACCTGGAAGGGTTCTGTAGTCTTACCCAATATAAACTAAACTGTGATCTTATTTTATATACAAGCAAATATACTAAACTAATAACTTCTGTAAATACAGACTTCAGATGTGTTAACAGGATGGAATACTGAAGTACTTGCAGCAAGCCTCTTCAGTGTTCACAGTATCTTTCTGGTTTTGGATTCTGATGCCTTATTTTTGTACGTGCCTCTTCAGCAAGACACATTTCAGACCCCCAAAATACCTTTCTGTGGCTGTATATACTGGATATGCTCTGCTGTAGTCTTTAAATCTTGTTACAACTAAAGTATAGGCCTCTGTCCCACTAAAGAGCAGAGTGCTCATTTTCATCCCACTTCAGATAGGGAGGTAGAGAATGGACTGTGTATTTTATGTTAGTTTAGGGCATATAGCATTCAACTTTTCATTATACTCTGGCCTGAGGATATATGTTGTGGGTTCTTCCTCCATGCTAGTGTGTTACAGTATAGATGCCCTGTCTGTCTCTTTTTCATATTACACATACTTTCATTTGTTGTTTGAGTGATTCTTAAAACCGCTCTCTGGCTGTTCACAGTACTACTTTATTCTCAAAAATCTTGAGAGCATTTTATAATACCAAAAAGTGACAAGCAGGGGAGCACTCTATAAATAATACTATAAAAAAAAAGTCACTTAGTCTCCAACACAAGTTATTAAGCTCATCAGCCACTGATGTGCTTGTACAAGCCTTAATTTGCTTCATACCTTGTGTATCGTAAATTAAGTGATATTTCAGTTCACTTCTTTCCAGTGCTTTGTCCTCTAATACTGCATAATTTTTATTGCCTCTGTAGGTCATACTGTTGTCTCAGTGGGTGGTATTGTCTCTTATTCAGATACTTTTTGCTGCCTCTTGAAAGATGATCACGTTCTGTTGCGTCTTGAATTCTTATTCCTGGGACAGTATAAATGCAATCTTGAGAAGCAAGCAGTGCGTAGATATTGGAGAAATATTTACTGCGTTTTTCTCTAAGTTTAAGTTCTTAGTTTAGAAGGAATCAGTGCTATTGGACTTACAGATCTCTGCTGTAAGGAGACCTGCAGCTGCATTTTTTCAGTTGCCATGTTTTCAGGGCTGACTTTCATGCATTAGTACATTGGTATGTTTTAGTTTAGAAGATAAAGAACATTCAGACTGGCAAATTATTAGGTAAGGTGCCTTTTCTGGCCAGCTGTCTGCTTTCACTACAGTGCAGAGCATGAAAGAATGAGAATGGCTCTGCCCGGCAGCGGGGGATTGCCCATCACTGCTCCTGGTGCTGCTTCTGTCCCACAGCCTGACGGCACTGTAAAACACCTGGAATGCTGCCTTTGGCTAGAGGGCACTGAGAGCGACTTTTAATTAGTTTTGGATTTGCTGAATTGTTCGAGGTTTTGAATAGTGGCAATGAGGTCCTGCACGTCAAATCCCTTGTGGGTTTGGTGGGGTTTTTTTTATTTTTTTGAGTGAGTCATATAGTGCATAATGAAGAATAAAGGGAGACTTTGTCGTATTCACAATGAGTTTGCATTGTAAATTTGTATCTGACAGCTAGGTAAAAAAAAATATCGGTAGTTAATGTTAATTTTGGACAACTGTTCTGGACTTATTACTTAAGCATTTGATGTCACGGCTTTCAGCCTGATGCATTTCAAACAACTGAAGAGGATGCTATCCACAATACGGAGCATGTAATTGAGTTACTAGGGGTTTTTTGCTGTCCCACTGCCAGACTGCTGCTTAGCTTTGTAAACAGTGATTTGTACACAAATCCTTCAAGAGGAAGTTTTCTTTAGGTGTCTTAAAAATTATTAGAAGTTTAAATTTTTATTTCCTATTTACTTACCTTGCTTGTTCAAAGTTGATATGAAGGACGTTTAATAATTGGAGAGGGACTACTTAACAGTTAAGATTAGGACTCAGTCATCTTGTAGACTGTTTCTCTGTCCCTGCTATGCTCACTCAGAAGCCGGCTCTGAAAGAAAAGTTGTGCTTTGAGTTCAGATTATCTTTAAAAAGAATTGGATGTTTTGTGTAAGAAGATTTGCAATAAAAACTGTGGGCTTTTTTGTTTGTTTTAAATCTGGTCCTCCTTGATGTGGTAGCAAGATTGTACATAGAGGGATCTAATTATCAAAGAGAAATAACTGATTTTTTTTAATTTAGGTTATTGGTGTATATTAACAGAGCACTTGCACCCTTACTTATGGATCAAGACACAGTGTTAAGTAGTGCTCTGAAAAAAGACTGCTTTTGCCTGAAGGAATTAAGCAATGTTGATTGTGGCTTGCTTATAAACCTAAGTGAACGCTTCTATAACAGCTGGTTCTAAAAATATGTTATAAAACTGTTACTTGCTCAGTACATTTCTTGTGTTTTCTAAAAACAACAGCTGCTTATTTATTACCCAATTATATTCAAAAGTTGAACTCAATGAGTTTCTTTACTCATGGTTGAATTAACATTGCTAGGACTGTTAACTGTGCTTTTCCTTTCCTTGGTCTGATGTAATTGCTGTTAGAAGGTCATGCAAAAAGAAATTTGAAGTGCACCGGTTAGAGTACTTAAACCTGGTTGTCCCGTTCCATCTACAATGCAATCAGAATAGCAAATCTATAAACACAAGCTGTTGACATCTTATTGTAATTGCAACAGTTCTTTAGAGTTTGTTCTTTTTTAAATTGTTACTGACTTTTTTAAGCCCTTCAACTGTCATAACTGTTGGTTTATAAATATGTGTATTTCAAAAGCACCGGCAAACCAAATACTGTGAGCAACATGCTAGTGGGTACTGAGTGAGTAGAAAGTGTTTTTGACATATAAACCAATTTTGCTGTATACCATTCCCCAAGAAAGTTATTATTCAGGGTATCTGTGACAGTTGCTTTAACTTCTAAAGCAGTGAGAATACAGATATTTTGTTAGACCAGGCACAGTTTTTTTTAATCAATTACAGTTTTACTGAGGTTGGGTATACAGGAAGATTTTGTGTTTGCTTGATCTGCTTTCTTTTTGCCTCAAGAGTGGAGAGGGTTGGGTTTTTTTTTCCCCTTTAAGTCAGAAAGCTCACATTTTGGTGTCAACATCTTAATAAAACTATTTTACAAGAGCAAATATTTAGAAGTGCATAGTATAAGGTACATTTGTTTCAGTCTGGATTTTAGCTGTATAATGTGTTTTTCAATCTGAGATGTTTTTCAAAGAACTGGAGGTATGTAAGTGCCCAAATCCCGTTGGAATTCAGTATTCCATTCTTTTTCCTGTAGATCCATGTACATACTACAGGGCATTGCAACAAGATACAGGGGTCACAAGGGACTGTGTTCAGCTGTGTGAGCTGCCAATACAAAGACTGTCAGAGAATAGTATCCTTTCTGCCAGGCCATATGGGCCATACTGTTCCTCGTATTCCTTTCAGCCTATTCTGATGATTTACAGCCATGCTACCTGTTTAGGATTTCTTTGCTGAGTTACCTATTCATAAGTAATTCCTTGTTTGAAAGGTGGGTTGGGAGAAAGTGTGGGAAGCAGAAGGCTGTAAATCAGAATAATGCATTGCCAGTAGATACTGGGTAGGGTGCAGTAAGATGATATTTCTTCTACCTCTGAGGGAAGTGAAGAATTGCATCCATTTTACTGTGGCTCTCTCCTGTACTGCAAGATTCAAAATCATTGTTGCATTTTGGGGACAAAATCTAGAGTACCATTAAGTAAGCTGAAATACGTCACACAGAAATAATTTGTGGAGCGGATTTATATGTAGTCTTGGAATACTTCATATGGATGGCACAGTAAGCTGAATATCTTTTTATTTAAAGTCGTGTTTCTTTTAGAATTTCGCGCCTAGCTAATATTAAATAAAGGAATATCTTCTAGAGGAGTAAGTAAAAATATCATTCTGATGATATTTTTGTTGGTTTTATTTTATAGCAGGCCACAAATGTCAAAGGAAGAAAGGGTTGGAAGGTCCCACCCAGAAAGCTCTTCAGGAAGCCAGGCGACAAAAAATCCTTCATGCTGAAAACTGTTCATATGATCCAGTCAAAGATGCAGAGAAGATAGGCAAGAGATGTCCAAAGGTATGCAGCATTCTGTCCAGTTGTTCAGTTTCTATCTAAAGTACACTTAAACTTTTACTAAGCCATGGTGCAAGATACTTGTCCAACATGACTGAAGGAGGTCATACTTAGTAGAAGTAAACAGGACAGGTAGGTAACAGTGTTTTTTATTTTTAATATGAGTTTCCACTGCACTTAATTTTTCAGGGAATAATAGGAACTCTGATTAGTTGAAGCTAGCAAGCTACTTTTTGAGAGTCTGATGTAATCACCCTGCAGAGGAAGAGCACTGACTATAAATGCTTGTTGCGCTGTTATGTTTCTCTCTTGACTGGAGAAATCCTGACCTATTCCATACTGCTTGCAAACTTCTCAAGCATGTCAGTCTGTTTCAGATGGGTCTAAGAAAGGTATTACATCTGGGAGTCTGATGGCAAAACATCAGTAATTTCTTAATAGTCAATGAAAGTTTCTAAACTTGAGTATACCAAAGGTGTGTTGCTGTTTCAGTTTGGAACTGGTGCAAAATTAAAATTAATTCTTGACTGAACTTTTTTATTGTTTGAAACAAATTTGTTTTCTTTACTTAATTCTACTTGGTTTATTTTTTGAGGTTGCATTTTGGGACTATATAACAGTGCTTTTTCTTTCCAAATCAAAGTAAACATTCTAATATCTAAAATTTCTTAAGCTCTTAAAACTGTTACACTGGCTTATTTTTGTTTGAGAACCATAGTTAGACTTTAAACTGTGTTTTTTGAGAAGAAAAAAAAGCTTTAGTTTACATTGATGTAGTCAGTCAGCTTCAGTCTTTCATTTCCCTGTCTCCACAAGTATATGTCTGTGGTGATATTTTTGTGTATGTGTTTCTATCTGTTTTTGTAAGGGCATTTCTTCTGTCTGACTCTGGCAATGCACCTCTCCTCTGACAAACGTACCATTTTATTTTTGTTTTCGTCCCTTTTCATTCTCCTGAACCTCCAAATAAAAAAATAATTCTGTGGCTTTCTGAAACACTTCTCACCACATATTGGAAATAATTCTCTGTACTGTCTCCCCACCTATTAGTATCTGAGTATTACTGAGACACCTGTCAGTCAGTGCATCTCCGCTTTCCCTGTCTTTCATTCAGTGATTAGAAACTTCCATCTTAGACTCTTATAGGTATCTCTTCTTTTCATTTTGACTTGTGAACAGATGAGTATTTCTTGGCTTATGAAATCTTATTTTTTGTTCCTGTTTCTACTGAAGTCATCAGGATTTTTACAGTAAACTTCAGTGGAGTTATGCTTTACCCCCAGAACATATAAACTCTTCACAGGTAGTATGTCTGTCTGTCTCACTCTTGTTCTTTGAAATTCACGAGCGCTGTTAGTTGGCTGGTTCTGGCAAGCATCTGTGTTTCTGCAGATCTTATGTTTCCCAAATGAGTCCTATCAGAGGCTCTGATGTCTTTAATCAGTGGATTAGAAAACTGAAGTAGCTCCAGAAATAAGACATCAGAAAATGTGGGCATATTTGAATATACTAGATTTTACCATGGCTAAGCAATAATCTAAAACTTTAGGTGTGAGGCTGACATCTTTTCCAACAATGGAACAACACCTTTTTTCACTTCACGTTTCCTGGATCTATTTCTAAATATTTTCTTTCCCCTAACAAAGGATACTACATGTGAATTGTCATATTTCTTACGCTGTTAGAAATGAATGGCAGAAGGAATGATGAGTCTGTAAAGGGCAAAGGGGTGAGTTAAAATTGTGGTTAAAACAAAGATACTCATAGAACTCTGTCCTGTAGCACACATTTATTGAACTACAGTTCTAATCTAAATTATTTTATTGAAATAGTGCATTCTTACTCAACAGTTTAGTTGTCTGAGTATTTGTTCCAGTCAAAAGGATTGCTATAAATGAGTGCCTTGCCTGCCTTAGATCATTTGATATGATACTTGGAATCAAATGTGTAGTGCCTCACCTGCTTTGACCTATATCAAAAGATCTTTTAAATTCTGCTGTGTCTTATGTGACTTACTTTCTTACAATGGTTCAGCATGGCAATGTCTTTACTGAAGTGTGTACCATAAATAATAGTCTTGTTCTCATTTACAGTAATGAAAATAACACTTTAAATGTTTGGGGTTTTTTTCGGGGGGGGTAAAATCTTCTTACACATATTCAGATTAAGGTTACACATCATTAAAATTCTCTTTATACCATAAAGGAAGTAAGAGTCAAAGCATAAATTGGCCAGTTCCATGGAGTTCAGGTGAAGAATATACAGAAGAAATAAATTCAATTAGAAATCCTGTGTTCAAACAGTGCATTTATGACACAATAGAGAAAAAGAAAATAGCAAATATGGGAAATCTAGGTAAAATTCACTGTCAAATATTGTTTACTCTTTTCAGTAAATGTAAGTGAACATTTAAAGCTTACAAAAGTTCAGAGTGAACAGTTTATCCAATTTTAAAATCTAGGCATTTGGATTATATCATGTTCAGTAAAAAGCAAATATATTGTCATGAAATTGTATCCTTGAGACAGAATTATAAATGTTTGTATTAACTGTACTGTTACATAGGAGTGAACTATAGTGATGAAAAGGATTTAAAATCTTTTCTGTGTCTTGTAGCTAAATAGTGATCTAGCAAATGCCTGTGCTTACTTTTAAGTAGATGCAAATATGACTCATAGCTGCGCTAGAACATTTACTTCAAGGACAGACATACATTGTGTTACTGTAATATCCTGTAAAAGCTGATACGTAATTTAAAACTGAAGGTCCCTTTGATATGAAGTTTATCATTGAAACAGAGAGAAAGCAACTGGAATTTTTCTGAAAGAGAATGTATTTTCCTGATTTTAAAATCTTTGTTACAAGACTCAATTGAATTATACAGTAACAGGCAATTAGGCTAAACTGTTTACGTATCTAGTCCTTAATAAGCCAGTATCAATAGCATAAATATTCTTAGATTAAGAATATGCATAGAGTACTGCTTTAAACGTTTAAATTAAAATGCACTCACAGGTCATTAAAATTGTAGAGAACCTTTGATAGTGTGATTTTTCATTATCCTGTTGAAATGTTCTTTTCCTATTTCTATATTTTTTTTATTCTTTCAGGTTCCTCACAGAGTACACTCTATGTTTGATGACTTTTAGTTATTAGCAGGGTGATTGTAGCTTCTTTATGTTTGGTAAATTCTGTTTCCACATATAATGTATTACAAAGCAATTTCATTTTCTGAAATTTTACTTGGTGTAAAGCTTTATCAAAAGGTGCATTGGACATTTCTGGAGTTGAGGCGTTATCTGTTTCTATGGAATAGATTTTGAAATTGTGGCCAATGGTATGTTAAGAAAAATACAGGCATAAAATCCAATGATCATGCAAACGTAGCTTTTGTAATTAATAAGACTTTGGGTTGAAATATCACATGTATACCTGTATAAAACCCATGTTTCTACTCAGTTCTGTGGAAGAAAACCTACAAAATTTAGAGCTACTCTTTCTCTGCTCTCCAACAGAAAGGAAGGTAAAACCAAATGGTTACTTAATCAGATTATTGAGCTTGAATATAAACAGGCACAGGCATATCAGGACAGAATTGGAAAGATGAGGTCTCAAAATAGCAAGAGCCATAAATGAAAGAGGCAATCATTTTGTTTGTGGTGAGGTTACTAAGCAAGCACTGATTTGATATTCAGTAGAGAGAAGATGACTGACAGATAATACTGAGAATACTTATTTCTACAGCCTTTCACTGGTACAGTAAAACTCCAGACAAATAGCTAAGAAAACTAATACTGATTACAAAGGTGTAAGACTGCAGTCTAGAGAAGGAAAAAGAAAATACAGTGTCTGTATTTCAAATGAGATAAAAAGTAAAAGCTAAGAAATTATAGACTAGGCAGTATAACTTGAATTCCCAAGGAAATTTGTAATGAATGAATGAAATTTTGCTGAACATCTGGAAGCAACCAGGAAAAGAAGTAACCATGAAGCTGATTTGCAAGGAAAAAGTGTTTCAGTCCAGTCTAAATTGCATCCATAAGAGGATGAGAGGTCTCATGGATAGAAGAGGAGCAGTAAAGGTTGTAATTTTATCTTCTTAAGAAATAAGAGATCTTATGTTTTTAAGAAGGCTTTGGATACTGTCTCACAGATCATTCCTATTAGCAGCTGTGGACTGACAGAAACTTTCCTAAATTAATGGAAAACAGATTGGAAACGTGCAGGTATATTGAATTGGCTTTTGCTGGGATTCATTAATGATCTGGAAAATGGAACAGAAAATATGCTGACTAAACTTGCAGACCAAGTGAACTTGGTTTGGTGGGGTTGGAACAGCAAGTGCAGTTGGGGACAGGAGTACAATTCGAAACTTGACCTACTGGAGAACTGATCTAAAGAAATAATGTGCAATGTAAGAAAAAGTACAAAAGTCTATGTTTGAAAAAAAATCAAATGCACAAATACAAAACAAGAAGATAAGAAAGTGTTGATCAAATAGCTTTTATTTAGAATAGGCTCTAGGATTTGTTGTGTAAAACAAGCCTAGGATGAGTCAACAATGACATAATATTGCAGAATAACTGAACACCATACTGCAATGTAAACCAGGAATATTGTATGGAGGCTGTGGATTATTCCTCTTGCTTTGTTCAGTTGGCATGTAGCTTTGACTGCAGTATTGTGTTCAGTTTGATCACAGCTCTTCAGGAGACAAGTGGAGCATCTATAGTAGAGCAGTAAGAATGAATAGAAATCTATGAAACCTAACTGTCAAAGAAAAGGTGAAAAGGGAAATTGCATAGTCTGCAGAAAAGAACACTAAGGGAAAACAGGATACTTCCTTAAAATCTAAAAGAATTCTGTGTATTTAAAAACAAAACAAAACAAAAAACCCCCACAAAAAAAACAACGAAAAACACCCGAACAAACAAAAAACCACCAAAAAACCCACCCCCCCAAAAAAACACACCAAAAAACCCCACAAACAAACCACCACCACC